TTTAAATAAAACACTTTAACGGTTTAAAACGCGACATGTTAGTTAAATTTATTTGAAAAATGATTTTTAACTTCGGCCGAGTTTCGGATGCTTTGCAGCAGCCGTGGTCACGGGGAGGAGTTTGGCTTGGAGATAAAATTCAATGAATTTTTATAATTAGGAGGAACAGCTTTCGACCCCATTCACTAGTTGAATTCCACTATAAAACAGATGCTGTGACCTTTGGATGGATATTTGGAAATCCACAGACTGAAACGAATCGGGATTAAACTTTAAGGCTTTTTCATCTTTGTTGAGCACGGACGCTTGTTCGTGACTTGGACAGAATTTCCATAAATACTGTCTATAGTTTACGCGAGTAGTACACATTTAAATAAAACACTTTAACGGTTTAAAACGCGACATGTTAGTTAAATTTATTTGAAAAATGATTTTTAACTTCGGCCCGACGTTTCGGATGCTTTGCAGCAGCCGTGGTCACGGGGAGGAGTTTGGCTTTGGAGATACAAAATTCAACTAAATAGAATTTTTATAATATAGGAGGACAGACAAGCTGTTCGACCCCATTTTCACTTGATGGGAGTTGAAATGTCCCAGCTATATAACATCTAAGCAAGATGCGCTGTCGACCTATTTTGGATTTGGATATTTGGAAATCCACAGACTGAAACCGAATCGGGATTAAACTTTAAGGCTTTTTCATCTGTTGTTGAGCACGGACGCTTGTTCGTGACTTGGACAGAATTTCCATAAATACTGTCTATAGTTTACGCGAGTAGTACACATTTAAATAAAACACTTTAACGGTTTAAGACGCGATATATTAGTTAAACTTATTTGGAAATGATGTAAAGGTCTCCCCGTGACCACGGCTGCTGCAAAGCATCCGAAACGTCGGGCCGAAGTTAAAAATCATCTCCAAATAAGTTTAACTAAAATATCGCGTTTTAAACCGTTAAAGTGTTTTATTTAAACAGAATTTCCATATTTCCATCGCCCATTTAATATCCAAATTTCCAGACGAAGTCCGACATGTTTTAAAAAAAATTATAAATTAAAAAAATAGAAACATATTGGCTCCGCTGGTGATCGAACCACCTTCCACAGACGAAAGAGCTGTTACGCTTTCAGTAGCAGGGTGTTTGATAATCTACATCCACAACAGGTCGACTGCAGATCGTAACTAAGTAAAGATGATTATTTCACATACATTTTCTTCAGTTCAAAATAATTATGTGACTAAAGTAAACGCAAAAGTATCGTCCTGTTTGTCTTTGAAACTTGACGAAACCTAATTTAAATTCAAAACATTTTCATAAACGAGAATAATGTTTAATTCACGAGTACTAATCCACGAGTATTGCGCGCCTATTTCTGTAACACACATCTGTGCTTGTCAATCTACTGTTATTATCTATGATCTGTGATGTATTGTCTGTTTGTAGTCCACTAGCTAGGTAGCAATGTGTGGCTAACGTCAACGGGACGTGGGCGCGAACCCCACCAGGTACAACGTTATTGCAATGAATTTATAATTTTTCTGTAACATATTGAACTTCGTCTGGAAATCTCAATATTAAATATTAAATCGCGTTTCGGTTCCAGTCTGTAGATATCCGAATATCCAAAGCCAAAATAGGCCGACGGCACATCTTGTTTAGATGTTATATGGCTGGGGTATTCAGCTACCATCATTAATGTTTTGTCAAACATTGTCACTACAAGATCAAAGAAGGCGTCAAATAAATAATTTATGCATTTAATGTGGTGCTCATTGAATTATGTTTAAATAAAACACTTTAACGGTTTAAAACGCGATGTATATTATAGTTGAAATAATTGTCAAATATGTTTAACTAATATATATCACGTTTTAAACCGTTAAAATGTTTTATTGAAATGTGTACTACTCGCGTACACTACAGAACAGTACTTAAATACATTTTTTTTTAAAGATAATGTATGCATATAATTTATGACAATATTATATGAAACTAAAGGCTGCTAGAGCCAAAGTGGCCTACTGACATAAAAACATGATTTTCAATTAGGAGGAAAATGAAAATGCCCAATAAACTTAGGCGAAAATGAATTCGTATCATTGTTACTTCAGTCAGTATACAGACGCAAACACAATGACTAGAAAAAATAACAATTTCCATAACAGACTATTATATTCTCAGCACAGATTCAAGAAAAACTAATTTCCAGAAAATTATTGCATCAAGTTAAGCACTTAAACCCAATTTTATTATATGGCAATAATTTTGATACCGGCAGATTAGTAATTTGATTATTCACGCCATTAACTTCCGTAGTTATAATTTAATTTAAGATAATTATTTATGCATTGTTGCAATTAAGTGCAACCTTTACTTCTTATGATACACAATTAAGTTTTTAATTACTTATCTATCTATTTTAATATATAAAGCTGAAGAGTTTGTTTAATTAGTCTCTAATTACGTATATATAAGTGATTCTAGGCAGCCAGTGTTAAATTGTTTTTTAATTTTATTTTTGTGTGTAAGGAGTTTTTATATCATTACATTTTATAAGTTTCGTAATAAATGTCTCGCCGTGCTGTCTGATGTATAAACGCAAATAAAACTCACTTGCCAGCGAGACTTCCTGCCATCTGTTGAGTTTTTTTATTATAAATTACTTTTATATGGCAATAAAAATTAAACAGTTACACATGGACAATGGTAATATTTAAAAAGCTAACTACAAATAAAATGGATTCATACTGTTATGTTTCTTTAGTAGAGTCGACAAAAGATAAGCAGGATATCCAATAATATTTTATTTATAACTAAATGACAATAAGATCGTATTAAATATAAATAAACATTTGAGGAGTACACATTTAAATAAAACATGTTTAACGGTTTAAACGCGAAATTCGTTTAAATGATTTACAAACTATGATGCTGCAAAGCATTACAAGTGTCTGGCCGTAGTAATTTTTAAATGAGTTTTTCTAATAAATTCAACTTTTAAACCTGTTAAAAGTGTTTTAGTTAACAATATTTGAGTATTTATGCTGAACGATACGTTATCCAGGACTTTCTTAAACAAATGAGACAGACAACTAAATTCCCCCGGGACTTGTATGATTTTTCGCGAGGCTTAACTATTTAGCCGAAGGTAAGTACTTTCTTGAACCAGAAATTTAGGCTAAAGTCTAATGGTAGAAATGTGTGGGTAATAATCTACGAGTCGTGGGTTAGATGCCCATTAGGTCCAACATATTACTAATAAAATTTCAGAATATTATATGCGTGATGAGATATCCAAAATTTCGAACCACAACCACAGATAAAAACCCTTCAAGTTTAATCGCGTTTAGTCTGTGGATTTCCGAACATGCAAATCCAAAATAAGTCGACAGGGCTCCTTGTCTGCTATATTGCCTGCTATATTTAACCTGTAAAAATCTTATGACTTTTAGTTTATTTTGAATAACCTGTTTATTACATCACTTGCAAGGTATACTCGTTATGTAAATTTATCCCACGAGTCTGTAACAGTTATATGACATTAGTTATATAAATAAATCGTTCCGCGCGCTGTTGCCAAGTATATAATACTTTTTATTTTTAATTATTCATTCACGAGTGAAAGATTAGTGCGCTCTGTGCTATGCATATCGTCTCTATATTGCACAGATTATATTAGAAGTGTCAACTGGCATTTCATTCCGGTGTCAAGTTTGAATTTAGAATACGGTGGTTTAGAAAAAAGAATTGACGCGCTCGTTGGTCTAATGGCAGCCATGTATGGCCATAATCAACGGGTCGTGGGTTCGAACCCCACCGGGTCCAACATGTTTCTAATTAATCGATTTATAATTTTTAAGAAATATGATAGACTTCGTCTGTAAATCTGGATGTTACATGGGTGGTAGGAATATTAAAATTCCATCCGGGTCACGAACCATAGTTTACAGATGAAAAAGCCGTGACAGCTTATCGCGTTTCGGTTGCAGTCTGTGGATTACCGAACCAAAGCCAAAGTAGGTTGACAGCGCGTCTTGTTTAGGCTGGGGTATACCACCTTCTATCAAGTGAACAATATGCTTGTCTGTGCTCCTCTATAATTAAAAAATAAACGACACCGCGCACAATATAAAACCTCATTACTCGTAGATGTCAAGAAATGCTAAAAAATAATAATGTAATATCAAAATGTAAGCATATAAATTCAATGACACTCTGTTTATTTATCTTTCGTAGCATTGGCACTTTTAACATTGATGTTAAATTACACGAATAAACGACCTACTTTTTTTCTAGAACTCTTGTTTAGACGCTTTCCTCATGCGCGTTGACAGACATACACCGGACGGGAGGTAAATTTAGATCTTAGTGCGTCTTACCACACGCTATTTAAAAGTCTTTGAAAAGACCGACGCTGGAAGTATAGTCTAGACAAAGTTAAAATTGTACTTTTTTGTATTCTTTTAATTGTATCTTTTGTTTTTTATTACTCATTTTAGTTTTATTTTTTATTTTATTCTGTTACTTATCTACTTTACTCATATTATAAATGCGAAACTAACTCTGTCTGTCTGTCCGGCTTTAACGCCGAAACTACTGAACCGATTAAATGAAATTTGGTACACAGACATTCTAGAGCCTGAGAAAGGACATAGGTTACTTATTAATGCCAAAAAGGGTTGATATGGGTTGAAAAGGGGGATGAAAGTTTGTACGGAAATTCGTGATTTTTTAAGCTAGAACAGTGAAACTTTCTTCTTTGGCTTTTTTGGAATAGGAGTTAGAGTAACAGTTATGTGAGGCGAGATTGCCTGCCTTGAATGTGTCCTTTTGTAAATAAATAAACAGCCTAAATAATTAAAAATTCTACCCAAACTCACTATTCCACAAATCGCTTTATCATCACTCTGGCGGACCGCCATCAGTTCTTGATTAAGCCGAGTGGGCCCTAGTCTTGAAAAGTCTGTGCATCCCTGGTATACACTGTTAAGGACTTACCCATTTGCACCAACGTAAGTTTCCTTCGCCGTCACACCGTTGTAGTGTATCCGATTTTCCACTTCACCATCAATAAGTACATCTGTCATCACAAAATTCAAGATCTCCTTATTCAAATTGCGCCTCAAAAACCTGATATCACTTAACGTCTTTCTATCTTTATCTATTTGCCGCTTATCTGTGGCGTGTCTGTGTCTATGGGTCGCGTTTGAATTTGGAACTACAATGTCACTGTCACTGTCACTGTCACAACTCGTCGAACCCAGGAGGAGGAGGATGAGAATCGGTGTACCGAACAGCTTCTTCCACGACACGAACCTGGTTACGCTCGACTTTTTTTTCGCTTTCGGCGATTTTAGCTCCATTGCTGATCTGAAAGAGAGATAAAAATGTTATATATGTACTCACACTGCAGCCTATATCAAACTAGCTGAGTCTAGAACTAGAACTTTATAAGCTTAAGCAGATAACCCACGACGTCGGTCGGTCCGTCCCGTCGTTCTTGCAAGTTAATCTTGAATGATAGACGCTATATAGCGTCGCGGACTTTTTAAGATTATTTAAATAGGAATACCTGTTCTTTATATATTTTTTCGTTTTCTTAGACCAATTTCGCAGCGCACTTAACGGACGCCCCCAAAGATTTCCACAATTCCTTCCATTTCTCTACTCCTATTCTCTCAGGTTGATATTTTATAGCGTAAAGCCTTCCTCGATAAACGCTCCAACGAACACAAAAACATTTTTTCAATTCGAACCAGCAGTTCCTGAGATTAGCGCGTTCAAACAAACTCTTCAGCTTTATAATATTAGTATAGATTATTTGTTGTATTAACACAATAATATTTGTCTCCCCGTGACGTCGGGCCTTAGTTAAAAATGATTTTCAAATAAGTTTAACTAATAGATATCGCGTTTTAAACCGTTCAAGTGTTTTATTTAAATATAAATCTTGCAAACGTTTGTTTTCATTTAGGGACCGTTCAAGTATTACGTAAGCACTATAGGGGGGTGGAGGGGTCTTTTTTTGCTTATTTTTGATGACATGGGGGGTAGGGGGAGCCCAGATGATGATTACGTCATCGATATTTATTTACTTTCTGAATCAACTTTCTTATTTTTAAAATTATAATATAAAAAAATACATTTTTAATTGAAAAATGTTTACGTAAGCACGGGGAGGGGGTAAAAGCTTTGCTTACTTTTGCTGACAAGGGGCATGGGGGGAGGGGTAAGTAATTGTAATAAATCTGCTTACGTAATACTTGACCAACCAATATTCTAAGTAGTTCTTGTTATAAATATCTTTTCGTGGTATTATTTTATGAAATGGAGATGTATTAAGTTTCAAACTTGTATTGACACACGAAGCATTCGTCAAATACCCTGACCCGACAGAAAAGTGTGTAAACAAAATACCTTAGAAATAAGAGGAACGGAGAAACGGTGTCATATTGTACATTCTAAGCATGAATAATATTTCATCAATTTGTAAGTATATAAATATATGAGGCTACTAGAGGCAGAGTGAGGCTTATCACAAAAAAAACATGATTTTTAAGGAGAAAAAAAAAACTCCATAAACGTGAAAGAATTATGGTAACAATATTCGGTCACTGTGCTCTTGTAGATTAACATTTTTAGACTATAACAATATAAATAACTTAAGTCATGAGATTGCAGTTAGGCTACTCTGCCTCTAGCGGCCTCATATGTGATGCGATTTTGACGGGTACGTTGGTCTGTTAGCAATGTATGGCTAACAGTTAACGTCGTAAACTTGATCACAAAATGTCTAATCAATTTATAATTTTTTGAAACGTGCTCGACTTCGTCTGGACACCCTGATATTAGGTGGGTGGTAGGAATATCGAATTTCCGTCCGGGTCCACACGGGTACCACAGTCCACAGATGGAAATAAAGCCTAATCGCGTATCGGTCTGTAGATTTCCGAATATCCAACGCCAAAATAGGTCGACAAAGAGATGTATGGCTGCACTGTGGACCCTCTGCATGTCTGTCCTTCTCTATATTACAATAAAGATTACAATTTTTCAAATGTAACTTATACTTTTTTTGAAATATACAAGTAGAGATAAGGCGAGTACTCGGTCGATACTCGGTACCTACTGTGCGTACTCGGCGGGTTTTATATGATACCCGTCCTCGGCCGAATAACTCTGTTATTTGAAACCAAGTAAATGTTAAGTACTGTCTATAGTTTACGCGAGTAGTACACATTTAAATAAAACACTTTAACGGTTTAAATCGCGATATATTAGTTAAACTTGTTTGAAAATTATTTTTAACTTCGGCCCGACGTTTCAGATGCTTTGCAGCAACCGTGGTCAGGGGGAGTCTCCCCGTATATATCGCGTTTTAAACCGTTAAAGTGTTATTTAATTGAGTTATTTATTATTAAATACGAATCAACGAATGGGAAATATTATTTTGTTCTCATTTGCGAATTTGCAAACAAACATATATTAATAGATACTTGATTAAATTAATTTCCTTAAATAACATACATTTTTCAAATCATCATTTTTACATTACGTAATTTGAATAGATAGACATTTTCTAAAACGCTGTGTTATATATATTATTATCATTTCATTCGTTTATTACAATGAATAGATATATATATATATTCTAATATTATAAAGCAGAAGAGTTTATTTGTTTAAACGCGCTAAGGTCAGGAACTACTCGATCGGTTTACTTTTATTTAGATATATAGCTTAATAAAACATACCGCTGCATCCAATATATGCCACCTAACATTGGATAATGTGGAAAAACGGGGAAAAAATATCTTACCGTTGCGTGCGCTGCGAAAACGGTTCGGGATACCCAGAAAATATGTATTGAAGTTTGATTCCTCTTTAAATGATCTAAAAAATGTCCGCGACAGTATATAATCTTATAAGATTGATTTACAAGAACGACGGGACGCGGCCGACGTCGTGGGTAACAACTATATTTAAAAATTATAGTTGTTCTCACCCAAATATTAACTATAATTTATTAAGTCGAAGAGATTTGCAAAAAATAATATGATTGAAGTCGCGGGCACAGCTAGTCATATCAAATTTGTGTGTCACACATTTTATGTGTACACTAATAGATACTTTACGCGTTCTTAAGAACAAGTGGTATTTATTTCTGAAATGGAGATTCCACTTGATGTCACAAAAGTACTTCACTGGAGAAAATATGATAGAGGAGAAGAAGTTTGGGGTTTACTTGATGGAAGCCAAACAACACATCAACAAGATGTGCTGTCGATCTATTTTGGCTTTGGATATTCGGATATCCGCTGACTGCAACCGAAACGCGATTCAACTTCACAGATTCTTCACCGTTGTTCAAGATTTTCGATATTCCTAGCACCAGTTTAATATCCGGATGTCCAGATTAAGTCCAGTATATTGGAAACAAGTTAGACCCGTTACCCGTAGGTTCGATCTGAAACGGGTCTAACATTTTGAAATCCCTACCACCCTAACCCTTTTTCAAGTTTTGAAATCCCTCACCCTCGGACCCGATGGGGATCGAATCTACGGCCCATTGATTATTAGATATACATCGTCACCGTTGTCTGTAGTTTACGTGAGTACACACTTTAACGGTTTAAAACGCGATATACATTATTTGAACTCATTTTAACTATGCCCCGACGTTTCAGATGTTTAATTTCCAAATAAGTTATAAATATATATATATACATCGTGTTTTAAACCGTCAACTTGTTTAATTTAATTAGACCAACTACTAAATAATGTTTCACTCTTCTCGTATAACATAACGGTCTTTTTAATCCATGGTTGAGTCATGATTTGAACATAAGACGCGTTTGCATTGAATCCATTTCATTCAGCGATTCTTGTTAATTGAATGTTTTGTTTTCCTCAAGAGTTTCTAAGAATGTCTGACGTCATATTTTATAATAGTTGACTCTAAAATAAACTATGTCTTATAAGAAGGTATGCAACAATACACAGAGCGTCGGGCCGTAGTTAGAATAATTTTCAAATAAGTTTAACTAATATATATATCGCGTTTAAACCGTGAAAGTGTTTTATTCAAAATGCTACTCACGTAAACTTTAAAACACCTAGATGTATTTATTAGCTGTGCCCACGACTTCGCCTGCGTTGAATAGTTATTTTGGGGATAATATTATTTATTTTTGCAAACAACCTCATTAGCTATATAAATTATATTTTGCGAGTTAATCTTAAGCGATCACGGACATTTTTTGAGATCATTGAAAGAAGAATCATTCTTTCATATCTTAGACCGTTTTTGCAATGCCAATGGAAGGCCTTAACGATGAATTATTTTTACCACATCTTTGTCACATTTCCATCTTCGCTCCTATTAGTCACAGCGCGATGGTTTTATAACCTACATATAACCTATAGCCCTCCTCGATAAATGCTCTAACCAACCCAAAAATAAATTTTCATTTCGAACGAGTAGTTCCTGAGATTAAGAGCGTTCAAACAAACAAACAAACTCTTCAGCTTTATATACTAGTATAGATTTAATTAAATTTGTATGTTCCTAGAATATGTTTTAATTGTCTGTGTTTTTTTTTTTCTATAACTTCTGGTACATCTGGAAGTAGCGCAGAAGACAATATTAAGCAAGAGACTAACGTCAACGAAGCTTATCAGTTGTCGATAACGTAACAATCACGCCACCGACGTCAGGTACGTAACGAAAAATAACGTTATCTCTACGTCATAGAAACGTGAATTCTTGCAGCATCGCATTACATATTAAATCGTTACAATAGGCTAGAATCATAACTAGCATCCGTAAACGTGGTCACGGGGAGACTAAAGATGGTGGGTGTCTCTGACGTCAAAGTAAATAACTGCTACGCTAGCGCCATCTGTTCCGTCGAAGTTGGTATTTGGCGAAACTGACCGGGTCCTTGCAGAATTGACTAACGGTGTTAATTGCATCCGAAACGTCGGGCCAAAGTAAAATTAATTTTCAAACAAGTTTAACTAAGTTTAAAGTGTTTTTTTTAAATAGACATGTACTGTTACTCCGAGTTACTTGACAATTGTTTAGTTTATTTAAAGAAAAGTCATTCTTTTTGGTATCTTGAACCGTTTTCGCAGCACTCGCAACGGAATCCCTTAAACATGAATAATTTGTCTCCCACTATTTCTTCACCCCTAGTGGTCGCAGCGTGATGTTTTATAGCCTTAAGACTTAATTGATAAATGCTCTAACAAACACAAAAATAAACAAACAAACAAACTCTTTAGCTTTATATGCTAGTATTAATAACTGTTTATATCATACGTATATATGTATAAGAAAATTTTTAATTTTTAAATTAAA